TCTGGGGGTGGAAGCTCTCCTGCAGCCCCCCAATTGCCCCCTCTCCCCAGATGGCAGCCTGCGGCAAGTGCAGCCGGGCTGATGGCCAAGTGCTGTGATGTGCCCAGTGTGGGCACTCGGGGCACTCCAAGCTAGGACTGCTTTGCAAGCAGGGCACCCCTGAGAACTGTCTGTCCGGTGTGGGGGTCGGGACCCTTTAAGCACAGCCCTCGGCTAGCCTGAGGCAGCAGCTCCATGCTCTCAGTCCTCCTCTGATGCCCTGCCGGCACTGCTTCCGGCCATCCTTAACCCCGCTTCAGGGTCCACTTAATGTGGACGCGCTAGTTCGAATTAGCAAAACGCTAATTCGAACTAGTTTTTAGTTCTAGATGCCTTAGTTCGAATTAGCTTAGTTCGAATTAACTAATTCGAACTAAGTTAGTTCGAATTAGCGCTGTAGTATAGACATACCCTAACAAAGTTATGGCATTTTAGTGCACTGGGTAAGGTGCATAAGAACAGCGATGCTGGGTGAGACCAGTGGTCCATTTAGCCCCGTAGCTTGTCTTCTGACAGTGGCCAATGCCAGGTGCTTCAGAGAGAATGAACAGAATAGGGCAAGTTATTGAGTGACCATCCGTTCCCTGTCACGCATTCCCAGCTTCTGGCTGTCAGAGGGGACCCAGAGCATGGGGTTGCGTATACAGTCCACACAGCTACTGGGTGTGGTGCACTGTCCCAGCTAGTGGCACCAAGACCACACACAGAGAGTGTAGAATGAGTCTGCTCTACAGCCTTAGCTGAAAGTCGGCTGGCTTTCAACTCAAGTTGTAAAGCAGGGGGAGGGGGGACCTCAGGCCTGGGGGCTGGATGCGGCCTGTCTTTTCTAGATCTGGCCCCTGAAGCTCAGGGCTCCCTGCTGCTGGTGCTCCAGCTCCCCAGACATCCCCCCATGCGGCTGGAGCACACAAAATCTACTAGGCTAGGCCCCCGCTAAGCTCTGGTGTGAGAGGGGAATGTGACAATCATTTTTGTCCCCCATCTTTCTCCCTCTCAATCTGTGAGGGTTTTTGTTGTTGTTTAGTGTTTTTTTGCTTCTCACTTGTGTGTGGCCCCCAACTGATTTTTCTGTGGGTCCGCAGCCACCAATCCATAAAAGATTCCCCACCCCTGCCATAGAGGCTCATGCATGAAGTTCCAGAGGTCATGGGTTCGGTTCTGTCTCTGGGCATTACACAGTGGCAGATCTATCCTCCGCGAACTGATCTAATTTGTTTTTTAACTCAGTTGTACTTTTGGCCTTGACAATATCCACTGGCAACGAGAGTCACTCCTGACTGTGCGTTGTGTGCAGAAATGCTTCCTTTTGTTTGTTTTAAACCTGCGGCCCATTCATCTCTTTGGGGGTGACCCTGGTTCTTGTGTTATGTGAAGGCATGAATCCTTATTCACTTTCTCCACACTAGTCGAGATTTCATAGACCTCTTAATCGTCGCTTTTCCAAGCAGTCTCTTTGCTCTCTCCTCGTTCGCAAACTGTTCAAAATCCTAACCAGTTTTGTCCCTCTTCTCTGGACCTTTTCCATATCCAAGATGTCTTTTTTTATAGATGGAGTGACTAAATGGTACAGTATTCAGCATGTGGGTGTAGCATGGTTTTATATAGAGGCAATTGGATATTTTCTGTCTGATTATCTATCCCTTTGCTAATGGCTCCTAACAGTCTATTAGATTTTTTTTGACAGCTGCTGCCCATTGTTGTGATAGACAATGCTTCTTAGCAATAGGAGCATGCAGCTAAATAGCACAGCTTGATTAGAACTGGGTTTCAAAGCACAGTTGCACTCCCTGGCTACGTCTACACTGGCATGATTTTCCAGAAATGCTTTTAACGGAAAAGTTTTCCGTTAAAAGCATTTTCGGAAAAGCGCGTCTAGATTGGCAGGACGCTTTTCTGCAAAAGCACTTTTTGCGGAAAAGCGTCCGTGGCCAATCTAGACGCGCTTTTTCGCAAAAAAGCCCCGATCGCCATTTTCGCGATCGGGGCTTTTTTGCGGAAAACAAATCTCAGCAGTCTACACTGGCCCTTTTGCACAAAAGTTTTTTGGAAAAAGGCTTTTGCCCGAATGGGAGCAGCATAGTAGTTCCGCAAAAGCACTGACAATCTTATATGAGATCATCAGTGCTTTTGCGGAAATTCAAGCGGCCAGTGTAGACAGCTGGCAAGTTTTTCCGCAAAAGCAGCTGATTTTGCGGAAAAACTTGCCAGTTTAGACACAGCCCCTGTGTATCGGCGCATCCATGGGACCTGGGCCCCACCTCCACTTGTGGGCATAAGGCTCCAAATGGAAATATAAACCCCTGCGGATAGTGGCCCATGAACTCCAAGTGCACCTTCCATCCAAAGCTGTGTCCATCGGGCTCAGAGAGGATCCAACGTGGAACGGGTCACCCCCATGCAAGCAAGATTTGGTTGGGATAAAATAGGCCCTGGGCCTGAGACAGTCCTGGTTGGGGTTGGTTTTCCAAAATGAAAGAAGCACACCGGATTTTGTTTTGGAGCCGGAGCCAAACACTTCTCTCAGCCCCACTGAATATCAGGCACTCAGGAGTTGGGTCCCACTGGCCAAGATCCGAAGGAACCCGGCACTGAGTTTAGGGGGCTCAGGTGATACAAACGGGTCGATCGGATGAGTAGAAAAGGTATTCGGCTAATTTGATGTGCGAAACAAAAACGCTACTTGGCGCCACTCGTACAAGATCCCAACCCCTCATCAACTGCCTGTTGGCCCTGACATCTCCGAGGGAGGGTCCTCTCTAGGATCCTCAGAACCCCGCTGGGATGATGGCAGGGAAACGGACACCATTCCTCTGGGGTCAGAGGAGTGCGGCTGCCTGCCGGCTGATCAACCCTGCCTGCTGCACCAGAGGAAAGAGCTGGAACTTAATTAGCTGACCCACATGAAAGAGGGCAGCAGTAAATGGGAAAGGGAGAAGTGACTGAAAGACCCTCCACAAAGCTGAGGGTGCTGTCAGCTAGGTCCCAATCCTTTTACACCCTCTTTAACCCTCTTCCCCCAGCCAGGCACCACGCTCACAGTGGCAGGACTGTTATCCTGGAAGGGAAACGTGGCCCTTAGCGCTGTGATATTGTCCCCCTCTGTGGTGTTTGAGTTTATTTCCCCTACCACCTAACCCGTCTCCTCGGGTGCTGCCTAGCAGGGGAGAAGCGCGCTAAGTGGTTCTTATTCCCTCGCCCACTCCGGTCTAATTCTATTATTGCAGAGAGTCGCCTCTATTTAATTACATTATGTGCTATGGGAAAAAAAGACCATTTCCCTTTTAAAGCAAAGAAGCTATAAACCAACTAATTAGCCACTTGACTTGTTCCCTAACCTTGTGTGACAGTCTTGTACATGTCACACACTTTCTACACGGCTGATTAGGAGAGTCACAAAGGCAACTCCCATGTAGTTGTTAAGGGATGCCCAGCTTCCGTGGCTAGCTCGGAGGGGATGGCCCTTGAAGCCGCTGGCGTTGCTGCTACAGGAACATCAAACACATCGCGAGTAATGAGCTAATGGGGCTTCTGCCCGACTGATCGCGGATTGATTCAGTTAGTCTCTTCTTGTCCGTTCTCTGATGCGTGTTCTCCAGGCTGCTGCTGGCGAGGGGCCTCCAGAGCCCCAGAGACACCCTCCCTCGCAGGGGAGGGGAGAGAAGGTTTATTCTTGGGCTGCTTCTGGGCTGTCCTGCTTCTGAACCCCCTAGAGGAGCCCCGGCCTATCAAACCTTCCATCTGTTTTCCTTGGTGCATTGTCCGTCTCTTAGCCCACTTCCAGACTAACCAGGGTATCAGCTCACCCGACGGGCACGAGGGGCCCAATCCCAAGCTCACTGAAGTCAGTGGAAAGACTCCAGGACTTAGGTGCAGGGATACTCCATGCACCTGCTGCTTTGGGTAGCTAAAAAGTGCTGATTTCAACAGGCAGGTGTCCAGTGTAAACCTCCTGTTTTGTCCCAAGCCTGGGAGGGGGAATAGTGATAGAAATTTAGCCATGTTAGTCTGGTGTAGCTGAAACAAAAAACAGGACTATGTAGCGCTTTCAAGACTAACAAAACTAATAAACCTTCTTGTTAGTCTTTAAAGTGCTACATAGTCCTGTTTTTTGAGAGGGGGAAGGTTGTCTTGGGGGCTCAGCTGTTCTGACAGAAATGAAATCCCAGGAGTAGGCTCTTTTCTCCTTCGCTCTGGCTATGGAGCACGGTCAATGGTCATGGTGTCAGCTGAGCTGGCTCTAACAGAGGTCAGACCCAGCACTGGAAACTCCCAGTGAAACAAACCTCAGCCCCATCCTAGCCATCTGCAACCCACGCCTGGCTTCCCCACCGGAACACCCTCCTGCCGCTTTGGGGGGGCACAGTGGCCTCCAAACAGCAGAGCCATCCCTTGCAATGGTACTTCCTTCTCCATCCCAGTTAGGGGCCGGTTTTCAGCCCAGCCTTCCCTGGGCGCCTCTTTTGAAGGCAGAAAATGCAGGGGCCGAGCCTGGAAAGCCGGCCTCCAGGCGCAGGAGAGGAGACAGGCCAGTTGTGAGGTTCGAACTCGAGGAGGCCTGTGGTGGGGATAGGCCTGTCCTCTGCCCGACACCCCCGTCTCCCCGGGCATGAGAAGGGAGGGATGTGCGCTTGCAGATGAACGCGCTGCCAGGATGAAAATATTCCTCCTCGGTCGAACCTCCGACTAGAGCCGGCGTGTGGCGGGGAAGAGGGGCCTGCTGCGCCAGACGCAGACCGGGGAGCGATGGCTGCTGCTCACCTGCATGAGGAGAGGAGATCATTCCTGCATCCCAAGCTGGGCCTCTGCCGCCCCCCCTTGCTCTGCATGTCCTCTCCTCTCTGTGGTGCCCCAGCCATCGTCTGTGGATGGGCTCCCAGGTGGCAGCATTAGGACATCTTAATGACGGGCAGAGGAGGGGAGGTGAGTCCCAGCGAGCGCTCATTAGACTATGCAGCGCTCCGCGCCTTGCTCCCTTGCCTGCCCTCTGCCCAGCATCTCCGGACCTTTGAGCCCCAGGCTAGGCTCCTCTGAAGCACCTTCCTCTGAGTCCCATGACACCTCCTGGCAGGGCAACACTGAGCACCCCTGTCCCCTCTTTTCCAAGGGCACAGCGATGCCTGCTGGGAGGCGAAGGGCTTCCCTGGAGTCTCAGCAGGGTCTGAGAGGAGAGGCGAGGGGGATCAGCAACACCCCGATGAGATGGGGTCTGACGTGTCCTGCCAAACTGCACCCCGGGCTCCTGAGCGTAGCCTCCCAGAGCCATTTACTGGGCACTGAAATCCCAGACGCGTGGGCCTCAAATGGCGAGTGCTGGGCTGGTGAGCGCTAAGGCCGGCTCTGTCTCCTCCTCCCACCCCACAGCTCCAGAAGCACCACGGTGGCCTTCCAGCAAGCCTGGCGCGTGGCCGGCTCCAGAGCAGCGCCTGCATCCAGCCACAAAGCAGGGCACTGAGTATGGAGCAAAAGGATTGAAGTCTTGTGGCTGGGCTCCCTAGCGCACCAGGCCCTCTCTCCGGCCCCTGCACCCGACAGGTGTCTCGTCAGTTGTAAGCTCCTTGGGGCAGGGACCTGGCACATAAGTGAGTCCTATGATGATAAATTCTCAGCCATCTCCTCCACCCTCGTCCTTCTCTTTGTGGCCAAGTGCTATTGCTGCCTCACCCCGGCAAGAAAAGCCTTCTCTTCGCTTGGCTGTGTTTTGGCCACAGCCTAGTCACTGGCAAGTAAGATTTGGGTCTTACAGGGAACAAACTGCTCTGACGCCTTGTTCCCTGCCCCGCCCGCTGTTGCTGTCTGTCTTGCCTTCTCCGGGGCTTTGCAAACGTCGTGTTTCTCACTGTGACGGGGCAGACTGACTCCGCCCAGCGGGAGCCGAGCTGCCCCGCACTGACCCAGCGGTAGCGCTCGCGCTCCTGGGAAGCGGCCGAGAACCGCGAGAGGTTTGTGCCTGCTGCTTGGCAGCTGCAACCCAGCTGATGGGCGGGGCTGGGGCCGGCCAAGGACGTGGGCCAAACGCCGGAGTACGTGCGGGGGGAGGACGCTCAGCATGTACACTGGTGATGTCAGGCGACGCAGTGGGAGGTGGGGAAGCCAAAAGGATGGAGCGGAGCAGGAAACAAGGGGGGGAACAGGAGCGGAGGGGACACTCGGAGTAGAAGGAGGTCATAAGGTGAGCAGGGTGGGAGGGACTAGCGTGGTAGGAAGTAGCCCAGGGCAGGGCCTGGAAATAAGGCCGGCAGGCTGCTGAGTTTCGGGCTAAGACCCCACAGGCCGGACAAAGCACGCAGAGCCTGTCCTTAGGGCCCTGGGATGGGGCATGTGAGAGAGGGCGGGTCTGGGCCCCCCTACCCTGCCTTTCCGGACTGGGAAAGCGAGAGTGTCTAGGAGTGGCACCAACAGATGCCCCTGAATTAAGGGGAGGACGCCGACAAAGCACTGGCTCTGTAAATCAGAAAGACAAACACGGGTGGGTGCGAGGGACCACCACTGTGCACTCATAAACCATTCGGTGGCTTCAACGGGGCCAGCTCAGGGCAGCCCCTACAGGAGGAGGGCCAAAGAGGCCTCGAGAGACTGAACTGGAGCAGCGCTCGGGCAGCAGGATGTGTGGGGCCAGATCAGTCCATACCTCCCACAGGGTAAGACTCCACCAGGCCATGGCAGCATGTCACACTTGCTTTGCACGGGCGTGAATAATGGTGCAAGGTCCGAGGCACACGGGGAGCCAGGCCCAAGGGGTTTCGCGAACACAGTCAGCTGGATTCAGACGAGGGGGCCCCAGACAACACAAATGGATTTTCACAGGGGGCTGGGGAAGTCAGGGAGGTCAATGGAAGCTGGGTGCCCAGTGTCTGTCGTCCCCATTGGCAGTGCCAGCTGTGTTCTCCGGGGAGAGGAGCAGGAGCATAAGGTGAGCGATAGGGAGAAGGTGTCTGACTATACCCAGGAGGTCTAGTGGGGCCCGAAGGTGCTCTGAGAGGGGTAAGCTGGTGTTGGGCTAGATTCCCCTGGCGAGAGCCTGAGAGGCCCCAGGGACTCAGGTGATGTCTACACTGCATGTTTTTTTTGGCAGATGATATGCAAATGAGTGCTCCATTTGCATATCCCACACTCTCATTTGCATATCCTCGCCCGATCCTTTTTGCGGAAGAGATTTTTCTGATAAAAAGCCCCGTGTAGATGGGGCCATTTGTTAGAAAAAAATCCTTTTGCACAAGAGCCCTTATTCCTCAAAACATGAGGTCTACACAGGACTTCCGGAAAAAGGATCAGAAGAGGATATGCAAATGAGACATGAGATATGCAAATGAGTGCCTATTTGCATATCGTCTGCGGAAAAAACCATGCAGTGTAGACATAGTCTCAGAGAGGGATCAGAGCTTGTGCTCCATTTACACGTCTGGATGCAGCATGTGGTTTGAGGGCTAACCCCGCAGCCTGGAAGGCTCCACCCCCGCACCCAGCATCTGAGAGCTCGAGGCTCTGCAGTCAAGTGGAGACCACTCCAGGGCAGGGAGGGGCAGCTGGAGGAGAGGAACAATGGTCCATACTTGATGGGGTGAAAGCACGGCAGGGTTGGACACTGCGCTGAAGTAGCAGGATGAACTGAGCATCGCAGGGCCTTTGAAGAGCTCCTGGGTCACACCAGCAAAGGGACAGCAGGGCTCTGAATTCTCGCCCCTCCTCTACAGTTGGTGGTGGGCAGGATGGGATCGGGCCTGGAGGCCGTAGGGAGAAAGTGCCATTTACAAAAGTGAAATCTACGTGCAGCCTTGGACTGTTGTCACAAAGGAATCTGAGGGGTTGTCTCCCAAGGAAGAAGAGGGGAAAACCCCAATGGCTCCAGCTTCCAGACTTGTGGTTCATTCTCTTGGCCTTGGCTAGGTAGCAGGATATGGATCCAAAAAGACACAGAGAGAGATGCCCATTGCTAGGACCCGGGGCCAGCAAGTCCTGCATTTTAATCCAGCTCTGATGCTGCCTTTGTGTGGCTTTGAACAAATCACCCAGTAAATCTGTTTGTGCCTCAGTTTACCCATATATCAAATGTGGGGATAATAAGACTGACCTGCCTTAGGCACTGAAGATTCATGTTTGTGAGGGGCTCAAATATGAATGGGACAGAGAACTCCCTAAGCAGATAGATGCCCGAATGAAAACTCAGCACAGGGTCTCCAGTGCTAGGAGAAGGAAAATCAAACACACCCATAGCCCCGCCCTTCAGAAATTCACCCCCCTCCCCCCGACCTTCCTCCCCAAATATGCTACGCCCCAGGTTTCACTCTGGTCGCTGCTTGTTGCTTTCTTTGAAGTCCACACAATCATTCTGCCTCAACGCTTCACTGCTCTGACTCATTGAGTTTGCATATAAATTGGGGAGGGCAGAGGGAGGTGGAAGGAGAGGGGCCGGGCATGTGTCAGAGCTAAGCTTGCAAACCCGGCTTGCACACAGCTCTGCAAAACCTCTGGTGGGCATGGGGAGTGCTCGGAATAGCTTATTCCCAGCTCTGATTTTGAGGATTCAGTGAGATCGCGCTCTGTGGCTGGACGGGGGGAAAGGATTCCGCAGCTAGACACGGGTGTAAAACCAGAGGAACCCCCTTGAAGCGGATGGAGTGCCTCTGGGTTTACACCGCAGTGACTGAGAGCTACAGAATCCAGATTTTCATCTTCCTACTGCAGTGTGAACTGGTGACAACCGGGGTTGCTCCAGATTTAGATCAGGGAAGCTGAGATCAGAATCTGGCCCTTGTGCCTATGGCCAGTAGAGGACGAACCCCTCTGAGTACCCTGCCCAGACAGCAAGGCTTAAATGACCCCACTCCCAAAACAGGACATTTTTTGCTTTGATATTTTGTAAAATTTCCTTTCCGAAGGGGGGAGGTCGTGCTCTGCATTTTCTTCTCTATCTCCCCCCCACCACTCCCCTGGTGCTTTTCTCATTTTTCTTCACTTAGGAGCTCCCCCACCACCTACTTGCATCCAATTCATTTTCCTCCTCTTAGATAAAATCTGACTCCAGGCCTTATTTGGTAAATAGAGCTGGAAGAATCTGAGCTGGTGGTTTTTCTGCTGACAAGCCTTTCAGGAGCAGGGGGATGGAAGGGGAGGGATGAATGGAATGCAGAAGCAGAAAGGAAAAACAGACCAAACCCAAACGCCCCCCAGATAAAGAGAGCGCGGAAGCAGAGATGGAGGACAGTAAAAGAGAGAAGAGTAAGAGAAGAGTAGAGCAAAGTAAAGCTAGAATGGAAGGGGGGCAGGCTGGGATGGGGAGGAGACCACGACGCTACTGGAAGGAGGACAGAGAAATGTTTGCTAGCGCTGTGTATGTCGCATCAGAAAGCATCACTGCTGGCCTGCAAACCTGATCATTTCGTCTCCCCTCCTGTGACATCCACGTCCCCCTCCCACGTTTCCGACCCTGTTCCCCTGCAACCTCCTGCGCACCAGAGAGGTGAGACTCTGATAAAAGGAAAAGGAAACAAGGCTTTGAGATTAGGAAAAGCTTTACCCAACCCAGCAGACAGCAGGCAGCAACTCCCAGGATGTGTCCAAACACAGCCTAGAGCAGTGGTCCCCAACCATTAGAGGTTGCCGGGCGCCAGGGGGCGTGGCCGTTCGCCCGCCAGGCGCCAGGGGGCACAAGTTCAAGTTCACAAGTTCAAGGTGCAGAAGTAGGTGTGGTGGAAAAGCATACATGAGAGGTACAACCCACTCTATTGTGAAGGCAATCCCTAAGAATGGGGACTTAGGCCTGCTTGGGAGCAGTAATGTGGGCATTTGGTATTGACGCTGGTTGTGAATAGATCTATTGTGGGTTACCCCCACCGTTTGAATACAGGGGTCAGCATGCCGCACGCCCGGGGCTGGCGCTCTCCCCCCCCAAGTGCCATGCGCCTGGGGCTGGCACTCCCCCCCCCCAAGCGCCGCGCACCCAGAGTGCGGGTGGCCAATTCGCGGCGCTCCTGGGGCCGGCGCTCACCATGTGCCCAGGGCTGGCTCCGGCACTGCACATGCACCACGTGCCCGGGGCCAGGCCAGCCCCGAGCACTTGGCGGGCGCACACAAATGCCATGGCGCCCGCAGGCACCGTGTTGGGGACCACGGGCCTAGAGCCTCGGCGTCCAAGCACTTCAGAAGCAGTAGCCATAATAGAGGCTACGGCTATAGCGAACTAGCCGCATGATTCTGAAAATGCAAATAATTTTGTGAGCAAAGTAGCCACACGCAACCGGCCAAATAGCCACACCTGGCTAGTGGCTGGTGTGTTGGACAGTACGGGCCTAGAGTCTCCTTTCCCGATTCGATTTAGTGCCTCAGGAGCATTCCTCCCTGCCAGGCTGAAATTTCACTCGTGTTTGGGAAGCGTGAGCGAGTCTGACTGGGAGATAATGCTCCGCCCACCTCTCTGTGGCCCAGCAATCTTTGCTGTAGGTCCACATTTACAATGCGAGCAGCCGAGCAACCTTAACCTGTATCTGCCTTTGTCTGCCCAATGCTGTAAATATCTTGGAGACAGCTAATGTTTGGAAACAACTGAGCTCTTTTAAACACAGGGCAAGAGCCAAACCAACCTATTGCAGAACTCATAAATATCTCTTTTGTATTTCTGTTCTGTCAAACGGCAGTAATAAAAAAGGACAAAAGCCAAACCCATTGCCAGTCAGTGTGGGTAATGTTTGAATGTAAACGTAGCGTTATTTCTGCATTGTTTCCTTTCAGAGCCTTAAACACCACCACCAAATCCAGATCAGATGCTGAGGGGTAATACATTTAGTGAGATTCTAATCCTACGCCATACCCCTTCTGTTGCCTGGCCCATGCTCCC